TACTTGGAGAGCCACCACCCAGCCCTGCCCGTGTTGATCACGGTAAAGTGGCTGCCGTGGACCTGAGGGAGTCACAGCCCGCCCCTCCCCCCAGCTTACACGCATTCTGTCATTTCTTTATTCTCTCTGTCTCAGCAACGATACTTCATAGATCCAGGCTGGTCCTTATACCTGGATGTCATCATGAAATCAAGACTGAGATTCCAGCTGATTTCAGCTTAGGGGTGCGACTTCTGAACCTCAGAAAAGCGCAATAGGGAGAGAAACAAGACTTGACTCTCTTCAGCTATGCACCAGGGACTTTTGTTCTACAGGGTATATTTGAGAGAGCTGGCTTGCAGCCTGGCCTCCGCAGAGGACCCCAAGGAGCTGAGGAATCCGACCAGGGCATGGGGAACACCTCTGCCATAGGTGCATACTGGACTCTGCCACGCAGACCTCCAGGGCTGGATCCAGAGACACAAGGGCAGCAGCCTCTGCTGGACGTGAGGCGTGGACTCTGGTCCCCTTGGGCAGAGATGAGCCACCTATTTCTGTAATGGGTCAAGGACTAAAGACTTCACATGCTGAAAGGCAACACTGGGCATTTTATGTGGGTACTTGTAAAACCTTCTTCTTGCTTGCACATAAGAAAACAGGAAGCAGGTTTGCCTGGGGGGTGGCCCGGGTGCCCCCCTCAGGGTAGATGTCCATCTACCCAGTGGCTGCAATGACAGCCCCCTGAAGTATGATGTGATTAAGTATGTGAGAAGTACAACCCAAGATGCTTAGGAACTTGGAGAAGACACACGAGGTGACTGGGAGTGTTACCAAGGGTTTTCTAAAGGAGAAGACACCTGGGTGAATTTCCAAAGATATGACATTACAAGCAAGACAGAAGACATGATAACACTACCCCGACAAAGCCTCAAGGTTTCTGAAACTACAGCGTACGGGCAGATGAGCCATATTTCCTTCCATGAGCAGCAAAATACCATGAAAGCAGTTCCAAAGCTGCCCAAACATAACTTGTCCAGCTTTGGTACTGAGTGACATCTATATACATGGACACAAAGGGCTGTTCTAGATGTCTTTGGTGATTGTGACAAAAATGCCATGGACTGAGCAACTTAAACTACAGAATTTGTTTCCCTCACTTCTGGAGGTTGGAAAGGCCAAGAGCATAGTGCTGATAATGGCATTCCTGTTTCCCCTTCCCGGAAAAAAGGACCAGGGGAGGCAGAGACAGACCTGAGGGGGCGGGGGAGGGAGGGTGGGGAGAACAGTGGCCTCAATCTCCAGTGCAGTTACCTAGAAGTGAGGCTTCAACATGAACCGGGGGACAGGGTTCCCCCATGGTCACTGATTCCAACCATGCACCACAGTTCACACAGTGTAATTTGGTCCCACTGATTCTTTCGCTGTTCCACCTGGTGAACAGTGTCCAAGCTGGTGCTTGTCCTGGGAGACAGGTCCATGATCTTTCCCACCTTATTCTAAGCTGCAGTTTTCCTGGAGACCCCAGCCACAGCCATCTTAATGTCTTGTACAAGCTCGTTAGAGCTGGAGCCTCTGGGGAACTGCGCTTATCCTGGCTTGGGGAATGGCAGAGAGGGATGGGGTTGACAGAAGAGCAGGACACCCAGGCACAGGTTCAAAGCCTAGCAGCACCCCCAATACTCCCAGGAAAGGTTATTTCCGCATTCATCAGTGTGTCCACGTGCTGATTTCCACAATAACAAAGGATGCTCCAATGAGCAGCTGCCTGATTCCAAACCACAAAACCAGTCACTCAACAGTACCATTTCCCACCTCAGCTCCTCATTCTCTTTAACCCAATGTCCATTGGCATGTATGTCTGTCTTTCCTGTCATGTGGAAATATTTAAGTTGAACAGCCATTAATCTTCAACAGCTAATTCCTTCTGAAGTCAATTATTTAGAGTGTATGATGCACAGATCTTAGGGACTAAGACATTGCCACCCCTATTTTAAAAAAGCATAAATAGAAAGAATTGTACTTAGTTGCAAAAGAAAATAATTATATTTATATATATACATATATATATAAAATTCTAATTGAGGTTGGCCCTTATGGAGCTAAACATACACAGGATAAAAGGTAAAGATAAAATTATAAAATATCACACATATACAAGTTATGATCCCTACACTATTTTGGAGATGAGCAGTTCAGATTATTGCCTGTTGAAATAGCACTTAGGAAAAGCTATGCAGTTACCAAACCACCTCTGAATCATTCAGTGATGTTGTTTTCACTGGTAAACACCTGGGAGCCTTTAGTGCGGAGTCTCTCTGATGACAAGAACCCAAGATGCTCTGATAAAAGCAACAAAAGATGACTAAAGAGCACTAAAAACTTTACCAAAAAAAACCCCACTAAAATATTGATTGAGATGAATCCTATTTCACTCTACCATAGAAATCCACATACAGTTCCTCTCAAACTTCCATGAAAGCTCACTTTGGAATCTTAACAAGTTAGCCTTACTTGAATTCAGTAAACCTGGGGTGGCCTACGACATCTTGCATTACCATAAAAGCACTTTTAGAACACAAAGGCACTGGAACATTCTCAACTCTTGGCGAGAAGATACGAAACAAAACCATAGTCCCCAAATGTCAATATGGAGTTGGCCAAGTGTTTGCTATGTGCCCATATAATCAATCCCTGGAAGCTTGTTAGAAATGCTAATGATAACATAGGCCTTCCTCAAAGCTACTGAATCTGGTAGAATGTGTATTCAGGATTCCTGTGTGAGATTGGTGTTCGAGACTGCTAGTCTTGGTAAGGTTGTCTGTTCCACACCGTAATTCACCAAGGCCTATGACCACTCCCCACTCAGAGCACACGCTGCTGGCAGAGAGCGATCACCACCCTGAGCCCAAGGAACTTGTCCTCACTGTTCTTCACTGACTGGTGGATGGAGATGCAAGCCAGTACACCCACCAACTTCACACCTGGTTGAGGTTCTGATGGGAACTCATTCACCCAAGATACCTTGTACCTCATATGGTGGGAATACTGTCTCCTAATGGGCAAACTGTCATGCATGAGAAATCTGTGTTCATTAGTGAGCCAGACACTCCTGGATTTCTATCCAGGAAACAGAAAGAGGCAGACCAGAAGAGAAGCAGTGCTAACCAAAGGCTACTCAGGGTACAATAATCAATGGTGTGCTGCACTGTTCCTATTCAAAATGCCCACAGCAGTCATCGTTATACTCAGACTTAAAATTAGTTTCTTTATAGATACATTGACTTTACAGTTATTTCCTGGAAATTGTTCTCACTTATAAGTATCATTTATGGTTTAAACAGAAATATCAATATACATTCTGTAGATTAAACACATTCATTCTCCAGGAGGTTAAGCTTATCTTCTACCTTTGAAGATACTCTCATCATTTCTTTAAAATGAGTGGCTCTAGCAGAACTCATAGGATGTTTGTTCTTTCTTTGTGATGTTTACTGAGATGAACAATAAACAAATGCTACTATTTTTTCCAGAAAAATGATAAAAATTGAACAAAGAATTTTAGTCAAGTGTTGAAATGTTATAGAATTTGCTCTGACTACAAGTTTTTACTTAGTAGTAACACATTTCCTCTTTTGTTGAGTTTGGTTTTGTTGAGTTTGGCTTCCTCAAGGTGAACTGGTCCACAAAAATGTTTAAATCTTCCTTAGGTCCATGGTTTAACCACAGGTGCTAGATTCCCCACTCACAACCCTGATCTCACTTTACATCAGTGTTGCTTTTAAATCTCATTTTTTCATAGGTTTATTAAGTCTATTCTGGCTTTCTTTTTGCCCATCCTCTTTTATTTATGAAATGCCTAAAATAGATATTATTGTTGTTGTTGTTGTTGTTATTATTAATCGTTATTATTATTTTCTCCAAGATTAACACTAGCTTCACTAGCTTCTCTGACTCCAGAGTGCATCTCCTGTGTCTGTCACTCTGCTCACTGAACCACCAATGGTGAGAAAGGCCTTTCTTTGCCTCTGTTCCATTTATCTGTCTACAAGGAGTGAACAGTCATAGCAAAGAATTCCACAGAAGCCTTGAGTAGTGTTTGTGAGCACATATTTTCAAATTTAGTTAATATTCCTGGATTCATTCTTTAAAATGGGTTCATTGATATCGATTTGAAGTCAGACTAAGGGTTCTTATGAAAGAAAAAACATACAAACAAAGACACAGACTGATAGGCGGATTCTGCATGGTGGGAGTTGGTGGGCAGGCCTTGAGGATGCTGAAACGAGTCTCTGTGGGAGTAGATCTACTGGCCAGAGACCCACCCACACCAAATTAGAGCCTCTTGGTAACCAGCTCCCCCGCCCCCAGAGTCCTTCTGAGCTGAATTTACCTAAGAGTAGATGACAAACTTCTTCTCTGTGGGCCAGATAACAAATACGGCGCAAATATGTTCACACTCTATACCCAGACACCATTGTGGGGAAGAAGTGGCCATGAATGGTACACAAACAATACTCACTGTTATGTCACAACAAAATTGTAGCTACAGATCAAATGTGAATCTGTGACCTAAACTGTGCTTTCTTCATAGATATAAAAAGGAAATAACCACATAGATGCTTTTTTTCTTTTAAGTAACAGATATCTCATAAACACTATGTCTTGTAATTTTCTTATTGTATTAAGGTGTTGTACAAAGGGGTTCAATTCTGTCATTTTTATGAACTTTTAAGTCCAAACATAGCCACACATTTAAGGGAATATGAACATATTTTGCAATGGTGGCACATGCCCGTGATCCTGGCCATGACAGGAAGTCAGAAGAGGAGAACTGCAGTTCAGGTCTGCCAGACCTCAAAAAAAAAAAAAAGAGAGAGACTCTACCTCAAATCAATAATAGGGCATAAGAAGTGGAGGTGTGAGTCTTTGCTCTAGCAAACACGCAGCCCTGAGTTCAAACCGCATTGCTACCAAAGCTCCTGAGAGCTCAACCAGGACGCCGACTGACTGTGGTGGCTTACCTTGCCAGGAAGTTGGAGAAAGACAGGCGGGCAGGGAACCCATGGCGGAAGACCTTCACCACCTCCAAAACCCCGATGTACTGCAATTGGGCAGAGACGTAGAAGGGGTCAAAGGTGTCTGGAAGCTGGGAGCTGTTGGGCTTGATGCAGTGGACAAAGTGCAGACCGCCCTGCTGCAGCTTCCCCGTGATCTCAGCCAGCGACTTCTGTGAGGAAGGAAAGGCAGCTGATGCTCTGCAGGAGACATGGACAGAAGGCAGAGCCTGGGGGACAGAGAGAGAGCACGGGGGATAGAGAGAGATCACAGGGGACAGAGCAGAGCACAGGGGACAGAGAGCAGCTACAGCACAGACCTCTGCCTTCAGTGCAAGGCTCTGCTGTGTGACTTATTTAATCACACAGAGTACACATGTGCTTGCTTTCTCGGAGACTACAAATTGTCAAAAACCAAAAAAAGTCTGTGCACACCTTCTGCTGTTTATATAAATACATTGAGTCTCTGAATCTGAAAGAAGGACATCACTAACCCTGAGTTGTGATGCTCTGGTGACTGGGTCTCTTCGTTCTAGTCTTTGGAGGAATGTAGAAGTTCCTTTCTTTTTTAATAACTGGAAAGAGAAAGAGAGAGAGAGAGAGAGAGAGAGATTTATTTTGCACAATTCAAGTTTGAGGGAGTAAATAGGAATGAAGCTTCATATTCATTTAATTCTATTTACAGGCTAATGTATAACACATAGACTAAACACCAGCACCAAATGATGCTTTCTGCAATGCTACTGTGAGTGGAGGAGTCAGGCTATTGCAGGGAAAGCAATGACCTTCCTGCTGACCTTCAAGGGCAAGGGAGAACCTACAGCAGATCTACAATTCTATGTGCATTCTTATTTGAGAATAAACATAGATCCTGATTTGACTGTTCCACAAAATTCTCTGTGGGAGCCTAGCTTTATGATCAACTGTTAATAAACTGTTAGTATTTATCTCAAAGTGCAGCTTCCCCTAGGGAAAAAGGGGATGATTTTATGTTATAGAGATGATGTCCTAACAATTGGTAATTTGTTCCTTACATGCAGCAGTAGCATGAATGTATGGCTGGACACTTTCTTATCCATATTTTTCCCTACTTTTGTTTCTTCTTTTGATTAACTATTAAAATGGGCCAGTGACTACAGTACGTTTCTGTGAAAATGACAATAGATGGTTTTCTTCGTAAATAATTATACACAACTCTTAAAAAAATCCTATGTAGCAATGTGATAGTGGAGATTTTTAAAAATCAGTGGAAATGAGGCCACTGAGGAAAGAAATGGAGGCTAGAAGGTAATTAATTAAATCCCTCCAGGGGTTAAAAGAAACCTTAGCCACAATGATTTGTTGTATTTCACAGAAGCATGTAGATGAAGACCAACAAACCCATGGATTGAAAATCATTTCTCTTAACACAAAGTGATGTAAGAAGAATGAAGGAAACATCACAATTGCTTTGGGTGCTATGGTAATACCAATGGCTCATGCCCCTCCACACAGGTGCAGTGGATAACAGGGCTGACAGTTTATGTAAAATGAAGCAACTTGCCCAAGATCAACCTGTTTTCTATAAATGGAATGCCAAAAAGATGAGCAAAATTCTATCTTCCTGGCCCAGGGCTGGGTGTGTAGGAGTGAGGGGAGCTGGAAGAAATGAGGGCAATGAGAAATGGAACACTTAGGGAAGTCATAATAAATAAATCTTCATCCACTGAAATGGAGCACTCCATTTCCTTTCCTGGGGGGAGGCACTGCTGTGAGTTATCTCCCTTTTGCAATCCTCTGGGGAAAAGCCTAATGGCAGCCAGGCTCATAATGTTTAATAATTGAGGTTAAAAATCACAGTTTAGATGCGTGTGGTGATTCCTTGTTCTTATTGGCAGGACGGTTGAGGAAGGAACGGCCATCAGTTCCATAAACCCCCAAGGACTATAGCTCTTTCTCATACAGGACAACTGCTCCTATTTTTTATTGTAAAATATGCCATTTCTATGCAATGAGATTGAATTCCTGTGATCACACCCCATTTTAGAACAAGTGCATCGAAGGATCCCTGGTTTATGACCCGCTGTCTAAAGTCACGCACGCGTGTGTACACACACACACACACACACACACACACACACCCTTCTAAAACAACATTCATCTTCACTATGCTTTTATTTTTATTAGGAAGCTAAGATATCCTTGAGCCAGCCAGCAACTGCATGTCTAATGCGGATTGTCCTAAACACCTTTCCCCTTAGTCTTCTTTTCTGTACCTTTGTAGACACACGTAGAAACAATGGGGTATATCCCATTGTGTATATTCTTAAGAAACCTGTAACCCTGCACGCATATGTTCTCATTAATCCACGGTAACTCTTATGGAGTTTTTAGACAAAGAACCTTTAAGCTGTGTATACAGCCACATTGACATAGAACTAAAGCACTTAAAAATTAGCATCCTGATGAAGAGAAAGTTGAAAGTCTACACATATGCAGCACAAACATGCTACACGTGTAGAACAGTCTGGATGGGAAATGACAGTTTATTGCTTGGATATGCAAATCCTCTGAAGTGATTAATGGAATAGCAAGAAGTAGCCACATTAAGTTTCTGTCACATGACACCATTGCCCCAACATTACTTTCCATTCTGCACAATGACAGTGGCAGAGATAAAACAATTAGGGGGTCACACAGACAATTAATGAAATCACTACTTTTCTTGCTATTGGATTAATCTTCTGAATTTTTTCTATCTTGTTCTTTCTTTTGGATGTTATATCTAAGATGGGTATTTTTCCTTTAATTATCTCTACTACAATATCAATTTATTTCCACAGGTATTCAAAATTATGACCCATTTTTTTAAAAAAAGAAAATACAGTAAACAAACAGCAAAGTAAGAATCACAAAAACTCCTACCTTACTAAGTTCTAGATAGTTCCTGTTTTCTCCAATAATTGAAGCAGTTGTGATTTTCCTACTGAGCAGGGTGGATTTATGTCCTCGGAATTTAAAGGAAGGGTAGGAAGGTATGAGGGCTCCTGTGTGTGACAGTTTTGACTGGAACAAATGATTGATCACGACATTTTCACTAGCTAGGAAATAAATAAATAAATACGATAAGTGAGGTTCAAGTTGTTAATGGAATATCAAGCTTAATCCTCATGGAAGTGCTTTAACCACTGAAACACTCTGTCCCGAAGGTCTAACTGGTACAGCAGACTGAAGACATCCCTTTCCTTTTTCCTCCAGTTGCTGTGTCCTAACTTGTCCTGGGTCAGGAGTCCTGACCTACTATCTCTATCCAAATTATCAGCCCTTTGCTTTCTAACTGAAAAAAAAAATCCTCAGTCTTACCTGCTCCAACCCAAGGGGCTTTCATGCTCTTGACTGAGTTTTCCAGGCTTATGGTTTTGTCAGCATCTTCCCATCCCAGCACAAGGACTATCTAGGCTCTACTCTGTTATTTAAATATGCAAAGAAGACTGCCTCACTTGATTTCACCTATTATTAGGGAACAGATGGTGAGGAAAGATCCCTTTCTTCTGACTCAGTTAAGCTGCAAAAGGAAGAGCAAGCTGATAGATTTGAGATGTTAAGTTAGATACATCTTATAGCTCAGGATTTTGATTTCTTGCATTTCCTGTCAGGGAGAAACTACAGCTTAGATGACTGAGTGGGTTTTAGAGTAGACATTTGACTAGTATGGGGAAATCAATGCATAGAAGAGTGGATGGAACAGTTATGCACTGCTCAAATCTGTGTAGACATAGTGCTGAGCCTCAGTTTCTTTATAGTAAGATTACAAAGATGGAGCAGGACTAAGAAGTCCTGACAGGAAGGAGCCATCACCAGATCCTTACCACAGGTGAAGAAATGGCATAGAGAACAGATTCCCTTACACATAAAAGGACAAATTCGGCCATCTTCTTATCCCTTCTAACTTAGTAAAGGAATTCCTGGTGAAGAACAGTTTTATGCTTTGTTTACCACAGATCATTCCTCATGCCATGATAGACACCTTGATAAGGAAAGCATCCCTTACTGAAACCCATAGTCATGGGCCTGGCATCTTTCTGCTCAATAATCTCAGGTGTTTCAACATAGAACCAGCTATGCAAAATAAAAATGGTAAAAGACTCAACAATTGTTAATATTATGACAGTAAATACCAAATACTCTCACTGTGCTGACTAGTAGGAAGCCTAAATTTTGACTCTCCTTCCTTGTTTCCAAGTCCGCAGTTCTAATTTCCAATCTCAGGCACAAATGTAGGATTTGCTATGTTCTTTCATGGGCTGTGTCTCCAGTTAGTAAGCCTTCACTTGATTAGATATCTCAGAGACACAGCCCTGTTTGTAGAGAATCTACAACCATTTCCTCTATCTTTCTCAGCTGAGGGCTTTCTGATGATATGAAGATGGACTTGGATGCTATTATTTGTCCCTCATATTTGCTTGAAGTTATCCTTTCTGTGTCATCAAAATATTCTGCAGATTCATAAAGCATGATTATGGTTATGCACTGTTGTGTCTATGACAGAACAGGTGAGCAATACGACCAGTCCAGGCTACATACAGCCTACAGTGTGTGTTTGTAAATACATGTCCATGGCATAGTTACAGCTGTCCCCCTCCCTACAGCAGCATTCACCACCCCTGAACAGCCAGAGAAGGGTGTGCTGTGAATGCTCTTCTCTTATTTAGAATAAAACAATATTTTGTGCTCTTCTAGCACTGGTCAGCAAGTGGACACAAAAGAATGACTTGAAGAGATAGGAACTCTAATAAGAGCAGCAAAACTATTATAGCATCAGTCACTGTATTCTAATTCTAAGTGCATCAACATATTCTATCACCAGGAAACACAAAAATAAAGAAAAAGGCATGGTGCCAATTTCTAAATCATCCTCTATGTTAGATCTTCATACAAGGTAAGGCCAAAAGAGAAAGCTATTAAGAGTGAAAGTTGAAATGACTGATAAATGGAAGGAAGGTATTTCTAAAGATAATGAATAGAATCAGTTATTTAGATTTTCTTTCTTGGTGATATTAGCCTGTCAGTGTTGTCAAGCATAGACTCAGTCAAGAAAACTCATAATGCAAAGACTCAGCCAAGAGAACTCATAATGCCCACAAGTATAAGAGCCAAGCGGACAAACACCTGTGACTAGGTGCACAGCTGTGCAGCTGTGATGTGTGGCAGATGTTCTTCACTCAGAAGTGACACATACACCTGGCTCCAACTCAAAGGCATCTCACTAGTTCCTGAAAGGCAACTGTTCTAAGCTCCTTAGCTCAGCAAAGATAAATGGCTTTAGCTCATGAAGTATCTTAAAGCACAAAAGAAGAAATGTTTTAATTCAAATAGTTCTTAAAACATGAATCACTGCACAACTACTAAGAAAATAATTACTAGAAGAGACAGAAATTGTATCTATCTATATACATATATTCATGTCTTGCATTCTGTGTGTATGTGTGTGCTGGTATGTGAATATTTAAAGTATGGTCTTACATATGCTGTAGAATTCTAGTTTATTTATACATATAAAGGAGTAATGCCCCTAGAAGGACCTTGTAAATAATTTATACATGTACAAGAATGTACATATATAGTTACATAAATGTATACGGGTACATGAATACATATATGACATATATATATAGAGAGAGAGAGACACATATGAAGGTATCAGATCCTTCCATAGTGGGCATTACTCCTTTATAACTGAAAATGCATAAGAATAAAATACTACGTCTTGCCTCTAGAGTCATTTAAGTAATGAAATTCACCCCCTCTGTGGCCTAAAAATCTTTGGAAATAGTATTCATCTTCATTAGTCTACACAGAAGAATTTTTCTTTATATTAATACCCCTAAAATATGTAAAGGTGTTTTACATTCCTCTCTGCTAAAAGCTTAGTTAAATTATGGTTTCTTCTGGATTCTAAATTAAATTGTTAGCAACGTAGATGGTGGCAAGGCTGTTTCTTATTATCCTGGGCATTAGAATGCAAAGCCATCTCAATTATCCCTTAGGTGGAGGCATATTTTATGGAAAACATTCAAAGACAGAGCAGTTAGGAATGTATGGAATGCTAACAAGTGCAGGAGGAAAACTTAACTTACTTTTCATTACAAATAGAAGATTCTGTGAAAGGGAATCTTTATTTTTCTCAATTGCTCCAACAACATCATACATTACCTATAAAAAAAAAGAAGATGACATAATTACTATTGATTGCTCATGACCATGAAAGGAAATTCCTTTAAAGAATAACTTGACTCAGCTGACATTTTAAATTATTCTTGGAAGAAGCATCTTCAAGCCTAGAATTCAGGTAACATGTAACTCAAAACCCATCATCCGTGTGTTCTTGCTTTATATGTTAAACACAAGACATTTCTCTTCTTCCATTTTGCAAGGCTTTCTTTCATCTTCCAGTTTAAGAGCAAACAGAGCCCATAGTCCCTTTGATAAGCTGACCACATCCAAACAGTCAGTTTATTCTGAAGAGCTGGAACTCACTCAGAAAACACCTCTATGCCAAATAGGAGTATTGAAACCTTGGGCATGAAATGCGATTTAAATCCAGAAACACTCAGTGGTCTAATCAGCCACTCTGCAGTCTTTCAAATGAAGTAAACATGAAAACCAATGAATTATGGATTACCCTGAGGATAATTTTCTCCACCATAGTTTACTTGTGAATCAACCTGAGTGAGTGTATTGTTAGATTTTACTGGACTCCAGCCTTGGCTGGGATAGGGTGTCTCTGGGAAACGGTGGTGGTGTGGCTGTCTAACCCAAGTACAAATGCTTAATGTCCTACGAAGCCAGAGCAGCCACAGAAGGCTGATGAATTTCAACACGTGCTGCTTGCAGAAAGGTCTGGAGCATAGCACCGTGCACAAAAGGTCTCCTTGGTCCTGAGCAGAGCAGGATAGAACCAGGGAGGCGGCTGAACAATGACACCTCACCTGTCTCTCTTTCCTGGTTGGCAATCAAAGAAAACAGCAGGAGCATTTACATCTACTTCTCTGGTGATGTCCAGAGACCTAGGTCCAAGGCAGAAGGAAGGGGGGAGACAGAGAAGGAGGCAGTGAAGAAGAGTCTGTGAGGCCTGGAGGAGAAAGCCAGAGAAAGACCAGAGGCTGGATAGCAAAGAGGCATGCCTCCTAGGGTGGCTTTTAATTCTCAATGCCCTCCTTGCAACCCTTGGTGAACATTTCTTCCTGGCTGCCATTGGAGAGTGTACAGCACAGAAATTTCCACCCATGCTAGAGACTCCAAGTTGCCCTATGAACTCAAAAGCAAATACTAGTTGTGCTGACAGACAGTATAAGAACTAAACGTTTTCAGGTAGAATGAGTTCCATGGCTACATAGTTGTGCTTGAGTGAGGACGCGGCACAGCTGGCCTGCACTGTGAGCTGTCTTATGTTACACATGTGTGCATTTAGATACATGTGAATTTATTGCCCTCAGTTTTGATCAAGTAGAATCAGGAAATAATAGTAAATTTTAAACAAGTCAAAACAAGTATTTTTCATTCCCGTCTGCTCATTGCCTAGCTCAGTTAACACAGACAATCCTTTAGACAACTGCCTTTGGCTGTGCTCATATCGTTGTGTGCTCTGCTGAAGGCCTCCCTGCCTTTGTTTTATAAAAACCTGACTCCCCCAAAGCACTGGTATCAAAAAGCCAGGCAATAACCAAGGTAATAATGAATTAAATTCTAAACTGAAAACTGGAGATTTGTTTAAAGGTAGTATCTTTAGTAGAAGTTGAATGGTGTTATGAGAAAACTGAAGCAAACATCCACAGTATAGACCTGAACTCCTACATCCAGAGCGGATGAGACTTTTTTTCTCTGAAACCAGAGATGCAGGGTCACCACACATTGATTGTGTATGCTTTGTGACATGCGAACAGTTTTGTGAAATGTAGAGCAGCAGTTCTCAATAAGGCCTCCATGACCCCAGAGAGGCTTGGCCCGGCTGGACACTTATGGTCACCACTGCAGACCGAACAGAGAGAGACACGGCTAAACATGCCTGGTGAGCAGGGTCCCTGCCACAGGGAAGAATTCTTCTGTCCAAACAGCCACAGAACTGACATGAAAATCCTTGATCAGATCTAAGGAAGTGGAAAAAGCTACCCATGCTACTGGATTAGGAGAATTGATATTGTGAAAATGGCAATACTGCCTCGAAGTCAAAGCAGACACCCTGAAAACATTACAGGAAGGAATAGGAGAAACACTAGGGCTCCTTGGCACAGGTCAAAACTTTCTTAATAAAGACGCAGAAGCTCAACAAATCAAAGAAAGGTTAGGCAATGCATGAAACTGCAGAGCTTCTGCATGATAAAGGACATAGCTAGCAAGATCAATAGAAAACCCACGGATTGGGAGAAGATCTTCACTAGCCATACATCAGACAGGGGCTTCATATCTAAAATATACTTAGAGTTCAAAAAATGAAACCCCAAAAATAAATCCTCCAAGAAACAACCACCCCATTCACAAGGGGACTAAAGACTTAAGGAGAGACGTCTCTGAAGAGGAAATAAGAATGGCCAATATGACACATGAAGAAATGCTCAACTTCTCTGGCCATAAAAGAAGATGGCTCAGTGGTAGAGCGCTTGCCTTGCATGCATGAGGCCCTGGGATCGATTCCTCAGCACCACATAAGCAAAAACAAAAAAGCCGGAAGTGGCGCTGTGGCTCAAGTGGTAGAGCACTGGCCTTGAGCTAAAGAGCTGAGGGACAGAGCTCAGGCCCAGAGTTCAGATCCCACGACTGTACCAAAAATAAATAAATAAATAAAAAAGAAATGCAAATCAAAACTACATTGAGATTCCACCTCATCCCAGTTAGAATGGCCATTATCAAGAAATCTAATAACAACAGATGCTGGATGGGGAAGTGGCCAAAAGGGACTACTGCATTATTATTGGGAGTGTAAACTTGTTCAATCACTCTGGAAAGAAGTATGGAGGTTCCTCAAAAGCCTAAACATAGAGCCCCCCTATGACCCAACAATCCCACTTCTGGGCATTTACCCAAATAACCACAAACCAGGCCATACCAAAGCTATGTTCATTAGTGTGGGAATCACGTCAGGGATTTCCCAGAGGACAGAGTTGAGAAATACAAACATATACAGACGACACAGACATAAAATGAACATTTGAGCATGGATACACACACTCCCATTGTACACACATATGCATACTCGTCCAAGCATGCCTATACATACACGCAGTTTTTTAAAAAAAATTATTTAAACAATTTTCCCCCTTCCACTACCCAAATTATGCCAACATCAAATAAAGTGAAAAAAGGGGTTGTAAAAACAAATTGTTTAAATAGGGATACAGGTGGACCCATTGCAACAATGAGATGTACAAGATGTTATGTCGAATAACGAACTTTACAACTTTGGCTGGAGGGGGGTTGGGGAGATGGGAAGGGATGGAAAGGGGCAACAAAGGAGGAGGCAACAATGCTTGATAAGAAATGTACTCATTACCTTGCTCATGTAATTGTAACCCCTCTGTATGGTATTTTCAAAATTAAAAAAACTTAATAATAATGATAAATATTAAAAAATGATTTAAGGGAAATATCTAGCCAGATTTGAAATCTGATCTTTTAGTCAGATAATGTCTTTGATCTAATAAAATTTGGTATTGGCTTTGTCAAAGGCAATTTAAAAATCTAAAATGAATGACATCTATTCACGATAACTTCTGTGCATGTTCAAATCACTTTTAAATTTTAAATTAAACTTTTCATTCAGAGATACTATTAGACTCCTGTAGACTCACAGGAAATGAGGTAGACAGATTCTGTTTAACCTTAATAGGTTCATTGAGTGGTAATAACTACATATTGAATGTTGCTATGATTAGTACAGTGAAACTACCTCAGCACATTTTTGGACATATTCACTGGTCAATATTGGTTGAGTCTATTTGTGTGGCTCTATTTCTGGCGTCTTGACCCTTCTCTATTGGTCTATGTGTGTACCTCTTGTGATGGCCAATGCTTCATCATGCTATGTGAATTCCAGGAGCCCCACCATTCTTTAGATTTCTCCCACCCCGTTCTTTAGATGATCACAGAGCTATCTCAGTCTCTTCATCTTTCCACAGAAGTTTTAGAATAATATTGTCTATAGCCCTCTACAAAAATCTTGCTGAGTGTTAAACCTGTATGCCAATTGGGGAAGAAGTATTTCTGTGTCAATTATTACTAAATTGGCGACTTACTATTTCTGTGTTCTGATCCACAAACAAGCTTGTCTTTCCATTTCAACCCAGGATTTCTTTCATCATTCTTCTGTGGTTTTTAATCATTCAATTATCTTCATGTTTCCTTACATTTATACCGAAGTGGTGTATTGTTTATGATTATAACTGTTATTGTGTTTTTAAATTATAGATGTGTTATTGAGTGCCTATACTGACAGATAGAAACATGATGGAGTTTTTAAAATGATCATGTCAGATATTGTGACTGCTGAACACACATTACTTCTGAGTTTCTTTCTTTTTGGTAGATTTCTTGGGATTTTCACATTGCCATTTATGACTTGTATAAACAGGCATAGGTTTATTTCTTCCTTTCCAATCTGTCTGCCTTTTATTTCTTTTCTTGCCTCATTATACTTGCTAGAAAGCCTAGCCCTGAGCAGATCATAATGGAGAGAGTGGGTATTTGTACCTCATTCCCAATCTTGGGAGTAAAATACTCAGCTTTCACCTTTCAGTGCATTATCAGTAAGACTATTGTGGGTGCTTTGACCAAGTTGAGGTTGTGGCTTCCATTTTTATTTTTCTAAAAGACTTTTTTTTAACGGATGGTTGTTGAATTTTACCAAATGCTTTTTTCTGTATTCATTGGTACAATGGAATAATTTTTCTTCTTGAGTATTAATATATTGGATTACCTTAATTAATTTTGAAGTATTGAATTAGTTTTGCACTCCTGGAAACAAATCCCCAGTTGGCGATGGCAATAATTCTTTTACACCTTACTGAATTCTACTTGGTAACATTTGAAAGCAATTTTAAATCTACATTCATTAAAGATATTTCTCTGTAGTGTCCTGAGCATAGGTACATATACACAGGTGTGTGTTACGGATGTCTGGTTTAGATACCAGGGTAACATTTGCTTTATAAAACCAATTG